GTAATCTGGCTACGTTTAGGTTTTATTCACTAGAAAATCTTGCTTAGGAGAAGATGTGTGGCTACGTTTAGGTTTTATTCACTAGAAAATCTTGCTTAGGAGAAGATGTGTGTGTGTGTGTGTGTGCGTGTGTGTGTGTGTGCGCGCGTGTGTGTGTGTGTGTGTGTGCGTGTGTGTGTGTGTGTAAAATTGAAATTTTTGGATGGAAAAGTTATATAGGTCGACCTATGAAAGCAATAGGTTGGCCTATGCGTGTTGTTCAGGTCGGCCTGTGAATGTCATAGGTCGGCCTATCAGGCAGCCTGTGAGGCGACCTGTGGGCATAACCTACAACCCTTAATACTGCTCCATGAGAGCCGACCTGAATGATCCATGTGCGGACCTATACTGAAGTTGAGGCTCATATAGGTCTGCATGTTCTAGCATAGGTCGGCCTAAAATGGCTTTGAATGTCCAAAAGCATGTTTCTCAATGCACATATGATGTTGACTCCTTTTCAAACAGACTTAAGTGCTTCCTAATGTCAAGATTCATATCTAGAATGAGAGGATACCGTCCAATATACATGACGCTATACTTTTCTAGTTTTGACATCACCGAAAATATACAAGCACTCACATACTCCCCTTTTATTATGATGGCAAAACACAAGACAATGCATTTAGTGACGTTGTTGTCTTTTTGAAGACTCCCCCTGAATATGTGCATCCTCCTCCTTCATTTTGTATACTTATCTCCCTTTGACAACAACAAAAAGAGAACAAGTAAACAATTAGAAGTGTCAATAATCACAAGCAAGCATAAAATTCCACATACAAACGCTCATCTTGCATGACCATAAGCAAATGCTCATCAAATAATTTATCTTTAGCATTTTTAGGCTCTACTTGAGACACAAACGCAAAGTGATAATATAAATTACTTATCTTAGAGCGAGTAGTTACTCCCTTTGTGATATTTTCAAGTATGTTATCGATAGGATGATCCTTTGATGTCTTCCAAGTCAAAGGTAGACCACATGTTACAGCAGAACTTTCTTCCTTTTCCTCTTCATCATTATCATCTTCCTTCTTCTCATCATCCACCGCTTTAGGTTGATCAATCCCTTATTCGGTTCCATTGAGATTATATTGAGAAGACACACCTACATCATGAAAAACAACATCTTTCCCAACATCTTTTGGATGGGACTCACCGGCTTTCGCATTGAATTTGCCAAGATTATCTTTATTATTGTTCAAAACATTTACATCTGAAGACATGTAAGTGAGAAACATTAGGCTTTCTACCTCTAAGTATTTCATAGGGGTCTTATCTAGAATATGACGTATAAGTACCCTATTCATGACATAGCAAGTCGTGTTAATGGCACCAACGCAAAAATAATTAGGCAAATTGCCTTCATTAAGCATAGTCCTCGCTAGCTCCTCAAGGATTCTATTTTTACGTTCCACAACGTCATTTTGTTGTGGAGTTCTAGGAGCAAAAAAGTCATGCTCAATCCCATGTTTGTAACAATACTTTTCAAAGAGATGATTTTGAAACTCTCCTCCATGATCACTTCAAATGAAAATGATGTTCAAATTCTTGGTTACAACAAACCTAATGGACGTTATCATCTTTACTTGACAAGAACAAGACCCAACCCAATATTCTTGGTTACAACATACCTAATGGACGTTATCAACCCTAATCTAGTTGGTCACCCAATCAAAAAATAATTATGTGCAGTTCAATCATGTGTATGCATAGAAGAAAGGATGAATATGATGTGCAACTTTGTAATCTGGTTTCATTTAGGTTTTATTCATTAGGAAACATTGCGTAGAAGAAGATGCATGTATGAGTATATATAATGAATGGGCAAAAGGAATGCAAAAAGTTGGAGCAAAACTGAAATTTTTGGATGGGAAAAAATATAGGTCGGCATATGCGTGTTGTTCAGGTCGGCCTATCAGGCGACCTGTGGGCTGAACCTATAGGCTTTAATACTGCTCCAGGGGAGCCGACCTGAAAGATCCATGTGTCGGTCTATACTGAAGCTGAGGCTCGTATAGGTCGGCCTGAAATGAATTTGAACGTCCAAAAACATGTTTTTCAATGCACATATGATGTTGACTATTTTTCAAACTGATTTAAGTGCTTTCTAATGTCAAGATGCATAACTAGAATGGGAGGATACCTTCCAATATACATAACGCTATACTTTCCTAGTTTTGACATCACTCAAAATATACAAGCACTCACAACGAAGTCACACACAATCTCCTATCTTACCGAGACAATTAAAAATTTGTGAAACTCGAGTACTGCTCACCATTGATTGACAACGGAGGGAAGATTGAGTTCAACAACTTTGAGCTCAAGACAAATGCAGATGTAAGGACTATGTGGAGTATATATTTTTGTTTTGAAACAAAAGTTCCACTCGAGTTGGAAGCAACGAATTCAAGATCGGTCGAAGATATTGTGAAGATGTTGAAGCGTCCACTTGGATATTGAAGTGTAATGTTGCATTTTATGTTAAAATCATCTATGTAATGTTGGTTTCATGTTATGAATGGTAATTTTATTTTGTCAAATTACAAGTTTTTGGTTTCTTCCTCTGATGTTGCTTAGCATACGTTACGGAAATGAATCTACAGAAAGATTTTGGAGATATATTTCTGGGAAAAAAATTCAACTTCTAGGGCGTCACTCAAAATAGCTTGTTTTGTGTATGTATTTGGTGCGTATAGAAACGCATATCTGAAATCTAGAAGCATTTTAATATTTTCATATATTGTACTAGTAATATATAGGATGTATTAAATTTTTTCCAAATTCTTATAATATCCGTAATAGTTTTGACATGTGGATGCATGATTTCTCTGGACATGAATATTGGCAAGTTCTATGATATTCTCTAAAATTTCAATTCATCGATTTAAAATAAGATTTCAAATTGGTTATTGATTTCATCTTAATTAATTTTTTTCTTCTATCGAATATTCTCTGCACCTAACTGCGGAGATTAATCAAGATGAGAAGAATCACAATAAGCTAGATTTAATATTGTTGGGTTGAATTAAAATTATCTTTATTAAGTTGAAATTTTTTTTTACCATCTCAATCAAATGTTCTTTGGTGTTTATTAATTAATTAATTTTAATTTTAATTTATTTATTCATATATAACAAAAAATCATTTCATTTATTAACTCAAAAAATTCCAACGTATATTTTTTGTTTAATTTACTACTTTTTAACAAAAATGGTTAATTTAAATAACTTGATAGTGAAAAGCTATGATTAACTCCATTTGTCGCAGTTTCATCTGGACCGGCAAAAATACAGTGAGCAGAAAGTGTCTTATGGCTTGGAAACGCATGAGCTGTCCTAATGCTCAAAGTGGGTTAAACCTGATAAATTTGCAGATTTGGAACAATGTCCTGCTCTTAAAATGCTTATGGAATATCCGCAATAAATCTGATACCTTGTAGGTGAAATGGATCCATATTCATTACTTTAAAGACAAGCAGATCATGAATTATGAAACCAAAACTCAAAACTCCTGGATCATGCGCAACATTTTGAAACAAAGGGATACCATGGATCTAATTAGGAACGAATGTGATCAACTTCTGATTTCACACAGATTTAAGGCGTCGGTTTTCTACAAGGTTCTGATCGATGACGGCACAAGAGTGCCTTGGAAAAACTTAATTAGATCCAATAAGAGCCGATCGCGAGCAGTTTTTTGTCTTTGGCAAGCTTGCCATGGTAAACTTGCAACCAAAGATAGATTAAAGCGGTTTGACATGATTCAAGACAGCCGGTGCATTTTATGTCATACCGAGGAAGAGTCGATGAACCATCTATTTTTCTGCTGTCAAGGAACAAGACACATTTGGAAGAAAGTGCTCCATTGGTTTAACATAGTTCATACTCCTCAACCTTGGGATGCCGAGTTGATCTGCATAACTAACATGACTAAAGGTAAAGGCTGGAAAGTGGATATTTTCAAAATGCTAGTGGCTGAAACCATCCACTGCATTGGGGGTATCGTAATAGTACTATTTTTGATAAACCTGTAGATATTACAACCGTAGCTACTAACATTATAGATAACGTAACCTATAGAGGGTGGCAAAATCTTAAAATTAGGAAACATCTTGTTAGCTATATGACGTAAATTGGTCTTTTTTGTTGGGTTGGTTCCTACGGGATCACCACTTTTGTACTACCTTTCGAATTAATATATTCTTTCTTTAATTAAAAAAAAAAAAAAGCTATGATTTGTTATTTTATATTATCACGAGAATGTGAAATTCTCAACATCCAAAATAAAAATGAAAAAATTTATATACAAAACATATTCTTACATTAAAAAGAATTCCAAAATAAATTATGAATATTGAAACAAACAAAAAATATATAAATTTCAATGTCACATCTGAAACCACGGAACAAACACTACTTTGGGTTTTTGTTAATTAATTAATTAATTAATTTATATATAATAAAAAATCATATTTATTTATCAACTTAAAAAATTCCAACGTATACTTTTAGTTTAATTTTCTAGTTTTTGAAACAATATAGAAAAATGGATAATTTAATTAATTAGTTTTTCCTTATAGAAAATTGAATTAATTACTGTAATAAAGAAAACATGATTAGAGAATGAGAAGAAACAGGAAACCCTTTTAACTGATTGCAAATTTTCCATTCATTCTTATTCCATTAATTTAATTCCCAAATCCTCCAATTGATTTCTATCAATTTAATTTAATTTCCCCATCAATTCAATGATCAATGATTTTCTCCGTCTTGAATTTGCAACAATTTGCATTTTGAATCAATTTTTTTGTTGATACAAGCTTTGGATCATGTGTTTGATCTGTGTTGATCAATTTGGTTGATTGTTTTTGAAGGATGTTTGTATGATGCATCATGATTAGGGAAAAAATAAACAAGTTTAGATTTTTTTGGCGAAGAATTTGAGTTTTTGTATAAATAATGAAGCTTGTGGTTCGTGTGATTGAGGCAAAAAACTTGGTGTGTTTGGATTCAAATGGGTTGAGTGAACTATATGTGCAGTTAAAGGTTGGAAAACAAAAGTTTAAAACAAAGGTGATAAAGAATTTGACACCAATTTGGGATGAACAATTCTGTTTTTGTGTTGATGACCTTAAAGAAAAACTTATTGTCTCTCTCAAGGATATGAAGGATGAAGAGAAGTTCATTCATAATAATCATTTGGTTGCAAGACTTAAACTCCCGATTTCACTTGTTTTCGAAGAGGATAGTAAATCCCTCGGCGACGCTTGGTATTCGTTGAAATCCAAGAAGAAGAAGTTCAAGAATAAGGAGGGTGGTATATATACTTACACTTATTTGTTCATCATTTACTTGTTAGCTAAGAAACACCTAACACGTCTTCTGTTCAGAGGTGTCGGTGTTTCTCAATTTGATTGTTTATTTATTGTATTATGTGAATATGTTGTTATATTAGTTTCGTGCTATTGAACTTAAACTTGAATTATGATATTTACATTTTTTGCTCTGATAGGTGAGATTCATTTGAGTATATTAATTTCTCAAACTCATGCATCGACGGAATCATATGCTTCCAGTGATCAGTTTTCACTTTCAAGAAAATCTACTGGTGATCAGTTATCACTTTCAAGAAAATTATCGGATGCGGTTACCTGTTCTCCTTCACAATCGTCCAATGGGCGTTCGAACTCGTCTTCGCCTGTAAGGGAAGAAATTACTGCTTCTAAGGATGAGAAAAGTTCACAAAAAACATTTGCCAGCCGACTTGCTCAAATATTTAATAAAATTTCTGACACCCCTTCGGTTTCACCTAATATAAACATGGACTATGACTTACCGGAGACGGATAAAGTTGAAGTTGCTGAGACCAAAACGGAGGACCAGGCCTCTGATGAAACTTTTGAAGAAGTTGTTCGAAAAATGCAGTCTGCAGATCAAGAAAGTGAAATTCCTAACAACTTACCCGGAGGGGTTCTTATCGATCAATTATATGTTATTGCAACAGAAGACTTGAATGTATTACTATTTTCACCTAGTTCAACTTTTACCAAGTCAGTATCGGAAGTACAAGGTACTACAGACGTGCAAGCGGGTCCTTGGAAGTTAGAGAATGAGAATAGAACCTTGAAAAGATCGCTTACTTACATCAAGGCCGCCACTAAATTAATGAAGGCTCTTAAAGCCTACGAGGAACAAACGTATTTGAAAGCTGATGGGAAGAACTTTGCGGTTCTGGCAAGTGTTAGCACTCCAGATGTTATGTACGGAAGCACGTTCAAGGCGGAAGTACTTTACGTGATCACTCCTGGACCAGAGTTGTCATTAGAAGAACAATGTTCACGACTTGTGATATCGTGGAGAATGAATTTCATACAAAGCACCATGATGAAAGGAGTGATAGAAAACGGAGCTCGACAAGGTATGAAGGAATCCTTCGATCAGTATGCCATTTTGTTATCTCAAACCGTTAAGCCTGTTGACTCAAAGGATCTTGGTTCCACCAAGGAACAGGCTTTAGCGTCGTTAAAGGCAGAGCCTCATTCAGAATGGAAGTTCGCAATGCATTATTTCGCTAATTTCACGTTCATCTCAACTTTCTTAATGGGCTTGTATGTTCTTATCCACATCTGGTTGGTTACACCAACCACGATTGAAGGGCTCGAGTTTTCTGGACTTGACTTGCCAGATTCGATAAGTGAATTTGCTGTTTGTGCTATTTTAACTCTTCAAGGTCAACGCATGTGGGGTTTGATCTTGCGTTTCATGCGAGCTAGATCACGAAAAGGTATGTTATTAACGATATTTTAGTTCAAATTGATTCATTTTTCTTTCTTCATATACGTCATTTGATTTCCCGTCTGTCTCATTTCTTCATTATTTTTCTTTCATATATGTCATTTGATCGTAGGTAGTGATCATGGAATTAAAGCACAAGGAGATGGATGGCTACTAACCGTGGCCTTACTCGAAGGAAGCAATATGCCGGCTATTGATTCAAGCAGACTTTGTAATCCATATATTGTTTTCACTTGCAATGGGAAAACAAGAGGTAGCTCAATCAAGTTCCGCAAATCCGATCCTTTATGGAATGGTGAATATCTCATATCATTTTTCATTTGGATACGCGCTTATAAGTCATATACGAACCTTTAAGCCTCTAACCGATAAGTTTGATTTTTTCCCCCTACATCTCGTTTGCAGAAATATTTGAATTCGATGCAATGGATGAGCCTCCATCTGTGTTGGACGTGGAAGTTTATGATTTTGACGGACCCTTTGACGAACCTCAATCTCTAGGACATTCTGAAATCAACTTCCTTAAAACAAACATATCGGATCTTGCTGATTTATGGGTGACTCCCGAAGGAAAGTTACCTCTCGCATGCCACACTAAATTGCACTTAAAAATTTTCTTGGACAACACTAGAGGCGGGAATGTTGTAAAACACTATATAAGTAAAATGGAGAAAGAAGTCGGAAAGAAGGTACGGATCCGTTCGTGTTATCAGTTGTTTGGTAGTTTTTCTTCGTTACGCTGTACTAATGTATATTATCAATCGATCACTTTTTTGGCTTATTTTTCTTTATCTATTTACAAAATTGTAGATTAATTTGCGATCTCCTCAAACAAATTCAGCCTTTCAGAAACTCTTCAGCCTTCCACCGGAGGAATTTCTCATCAATGATTTCACCTGTCATTTGAAAAGAAAAATGCCCCTACAGGTTCAGCTATTACGTTACGTGATTCTGAAAGCGGTCAAATTTTATTTTGGCGTATGTTTCTTTATTAGTATTATTTATCTCATCGAGTTGCCTATGGATCTCGGCAGGGTCGTCTATTTGTCTCAGCAAGAATAATTGGATTTCATGCAAATTTGTTCGGACACAAGACAAACTTCTTTTTGCTTTGGGAAGACGTTGAAGACATACAGATTGTTCCTCCTACATTCTCATCAATGGGCAGTCCAATAATAGTCGTAACTCTTCGTCAAGGGAGAGGCGTGGATGCAAAACACGGCGCAAAAACGCAAGATGAGCAAGGAAGACTCAAGTTCCATTTCCAATCTTTTGTATCTTTCAATGTTGCAAACAGGTATACTATCTCAAAAAAAGTTTATAGTTTTAAACTTATAACGTTCGTTGAGTCTAAAAATATATTCTTCTGCTAATATAGGACTATCATGGCACTCTGGAAGGCGAGATCTTTGAGTTTCGAACAAAAGGTCCAATTAGTCGAAGAGGACCCTGAAAACGAAAGTGTTACCAGCGAAGAGAGTGTAACATTAATTGGCAGCGAAGTTAGTATGTCCGAAGTTCATTCTTGTGCTCTTCAAGTTCCTGTAATCACTCTCTCTCGTTCCGTTTTCTATTTATCGTACAACTTTGCCAATACATGCGTTTGGTTATTATTTTAATTTTCTTTGATTAATCTAGGCCAGTTTCTTTATGGAGCTATTCAGTGGAGGTGAGTTGGATTGTAGGATCATGGAAAAATCTGGTTGTGCCAGTTATTCTTATACCCCTTGGGTATCCGAGGACAACAATGTCTATGAAAGGGCGGTATATTACAAATTTGAAAAACGTATTTCACGTTATAAAGTCGAAGTAACGAGTACTCAACAAAAATCTCTCTTGGATGGAAATGGTTGGCGTTTGGAAGAAGTAATGAACTTTCATGGAGTTCCTCTCGGTGATTATTTTAATGTGAGTAAGTCAATTCATCTTATTCCTTGTCTTTCTCTGATTTATTCGTCGAAATATGCATCTTATTTGTTCTATCTTTGTTTTCTAATTTCACAGTTGCACCTTCGTTATCAAATTGACGAGTTAGTCCAAAAGGCCAAGGGATGTAAAGTTCAAGTATTATTTGGAATTGAATGGTTGAAAAAAACAAAACATCAGAAAAGGATCACGAAGAACCTTTTAAAAAATCTACAAGAACGATTGAAGTTGACATTTAGTTTAGTTGAGAAAGAGTTTTTGGAAAAAATAGGAAATCGAGCTAATAGTCTCACAACATCATGATCCTAACTTCACTACATATCGACCGACGTATGCAACTTGATAGTGCTGTCTATCGATAATCTCATGATCAGAATGTCATGTTGATCACTTCTTCTCTTTCAATGGTGATAAAATCAGAGCTAGAATGATGCTGAAAAATCATTAAACAAGGTTAATGATTGGAGATATTACTGACTGTTATGTTGTAAATGATAAGTTAGAGTCTAGCATTGTTAGATATCAAAATTTTGGTTCTTCTGTGTTGTATCGTGAACAAGAGTCATGTATGTTGTAGCATATCATTAAACAATGTTTATGTTGTATAATATCTTGTTGTAAAGTTTGGTTTTAGCTAGTTTTTGAATAAGCATTACATTACTTGAGATTCAAGTAATGTAGTTTGCACTTTGCAGTTAATACCGGGTATATCCGGCATTGTTGTGCTGATGAAATGAATTAGAGGAATACAACTGGTATCGTCGCAACTAGTTTTGATCCATAACATCTCAAACGGAAAAACTATAGCTTTTTTAGTTGCAACCGCTAACTGTGTTTCACGCACTTTGTATTCTCCATTCTTGAATCCTATCACTTTCAAGTTCTTGCGTCAATTATATTCGCTACGACTAAATGATCACAATTCATTCAACTCGTTATTCTCAGATTCGATGATTTTTATGATCATTGGTTAGGGTTGATGGAAAATCGGCTTTGACTAAATGAGTACTGGGGATTGATCTAGAATGACATCACAATTGCACCTCAAGAAATTATATGATAAATCTACAATTTGTCATAAAAATTGATAAAATATTTGTGTGAACATTTTACCTATGTCATTCACAATCACAGATGCAAATGCTAAAGAAAATCACAAAATCAAGATGTTGATTACCAGAGAGTATCATTAGGCGAAAAGATAGGTGGTTCAGATGACCTCTGAGATAAGTTACTTTAGGGAGATGACCTCTGGAATAAGTTACTTTAGGATGAAGAAAAGATTTCTTCATTGGGTAAAATGAGGCGATTGGAGCTCTAACGGAATAGATGGACATAACATTCTGGTGAAGAAAGGAAATGCTCGCGGGAAAAAAAATGCTTTATCAAGCCCCTATAAATAGAGATCACAACCTAGCGAAAAATTCATTTATTCAAATGTAGAGAAACAAAGAGAACAAAGAGAACAGAGAGGGAAAAATTCCAATAGAGGTATTGAAGATCGAAGGTGGAGACTCTGTTAGGTCAGAGAAATTGTCATTGATGTTTTTCTATCTCTTTCTTTTTTATCATCATTGTAAAGAAACTATGAGTAAGAGTAGCTAAATTCTCTTTGGTGGGGTTAGACGTAATTGTCCAAATACTCATGTATTCTTTTAGATCATGGAGTTATGTTTTAATTATTCATTAATATTGATGATTATCTTCGTTCTTAGTTCTTGATATAACCTAGCTAATTGTAACTTGTTATAATGGTTTTGAATTAATATTGAGAAATATTTCTCATAACTAGATCAAAGATTTTCATCGATTACATACTAAAACCGTGGATACTGATTTAGGTTTATCATTCACTTATATTGTCGAAACTTAATGCTATCATATTGGTTAACCGGCTAAGAGATCATCAGTTAAGCAATACGATTGATTTTGCGTCAATGTTTAGACATAAACAACATACGCAGGCCAATAGATGATAATACTAACTATTGACTAGAATATGTATAATTGATCACGAGAATACATGAGGATAGAATGATGAACTCTAAGCTCATCAATCTCATTTTATTTTTTAACCGTATTGTCATTTACCATTTATTGTAACTTAGTTTTGAAATAATAATCTTTACAAATGCTTTTCTTGTAAAGATTGTTGAACGATTTTGATATCGTATCACAAAAATAACGGAATCCCTTAATTGTACATAAAAGCATTAAGAATAAGAACAATTAAATAATAGTAATAACATAAAACCATTTAATTAATCTCAAACAGTCATATGATCCAACATAGTAAAAAAAAGGTTCATCTAAAATAAATCTAGTCTCAAATAACTAAGCTACTCATAGAGAATTTAACAATTATCATGAGTTGATAAGAATTATCCATCAAAATCTATGAAAAATAGCTCTTCAATGCTCTCAAATTCGTGCTCCCAAAAACTCATATTCATCCCTCTCTATCTCCAATTTAGAACCCTTAAAAAAGTGCCAAAAGACCTATTTATAGCAATTGGCGTGTGTAAGATCATCGCTGCATCACACCCACTTTATAAGCTACAACGACCACGACGTTAGGTCATCACGCCTACGATGCCAGCATCACGCCCGCGAGAATTACATAGGAAAAATGCATTATTTTCTTCTTTTTCTTCAAATTTTCTCTAAGTCTCAAGTTTCTTCTTCTTGGTAGTTTTTTGTTCATTTCTTCCATACTTTATCTTGGCTTTTACTCATTATTCCACCAATTTTGTTGATTTTTTTCTCATAATATTATGTAATGAAAGAGTTTCATCACAACTTTAAACTTACTATATTGCTTGTCCTCAAGTAACCTATCTGCACACTGAAAAATTTCATCAGAATTAAAATGCTTACAATTACCAATAAACGTTACTTTTTTTCCTGATCAACACTTCCGTTCCCTACTTCAATTCAATCATCTCAGTAAAGTTCTTCCAAACACACAAGCACTCAATCAGTATCTCGTCTCACATATATTCATTCGATTTGACAAACACAATCAACGTACAAAAGCATTTAACAATGAGTTTGTAAAGTTTCTATCAAAGTCATATTTAAATACACATACACGCAAGCACATCCCCTCCCCCCACATACACTTTTGAGGTCTTTTCAAGGTTGTAACATGACTTATGTCAATGTGAGATAATTTAGTTTGGTAGATTTAAACCTTTGGAGTCAAGTACCTAGTTTTCCTGATGTTATCTGATTCCTTTTATATCACTCTTTTCTTGTTCATTCAGTACTAGATAATTCATATTGTCGGTCCTATATTTATTTTTCTTTTTCACGAAATTTTTTTTGAAGAATTAATTTTTTTAACTTCTTATTTTATTTTTCTTTCTTTTTGACCAATTTCTCTAGTACCCCAACCACAAACTTAAGTGTTGCTAACTTCTATGAGCAACCCCAAACTCATATTTTTGCATCATGCAAGGAAATTAATTTTTTTAATCTAACTTCAAAGAGGGAAAGAATTAATCTTTCAAGTTAAATGGCTATATGATAGGATATGTCACCAAAAGAATGACTAAGACTCAAAGTGGTTAGCAAGGGATACAATAATATTAAAACGACTGGCTTAAAAAGGTTCATAGTTTTTATAAAAAAAACTGCCTCAGTGTGTATTTATCATACCAATAAACTAAGTAGAAACATTTCAAATTCTAGAAAATAACTAATGAACGGATACTCTCATAAGAAACAAAAGTAAACAATGAAAATATTTGCCTCAAACCTTACAAGCTTAGGTATCTAGACATTTAGTACCAGAAGTTGGTTTTCCTTTTCATCATCAACTTTCACTCTGCTCAACCTGTCTCTTGGCAGTAGGTAGTCATTATCAGTCTCCTCATCTTCATCAGCAACTTGTGTTTCTTCTTCGACTTCGTCTGGGTTATGCAGTTCAGCATCAATATGCTCCACCTCAAGATGAATCTCTTTATGTTCCATCTCTTATTTAGAGATGTCTGCATTTTGACCAACATCATCAGTTTCCTTGAACACCATTTCTGCTTCACTGAAAACTACATCTCGACTTATGACACACCTCTTGCGATCTGGCTCTAGGCATCAAAGCCTATAAGCTTTTACTCCTTCAGGGTATCCAAGAAACATACATCTCAGATCTCTAGATTCGACATTGTCTTATCTAATGTGAGCATATGCTAAACAACCAAATACTCTAAATTTGTCAAGATTAGATGGATGTATCAATCAGACTTCTTTAGGTGTCTTCATCCCCAAGGAAGTCGGGAGACACATATTTATTAGGTATGCTTCTGCCACAACAACCTCAATCAAAAACACCTTCTTCAATCCAGAACTAACCAACATGCGTCTAACCCTTTCCAGGATTGTTTGATTGAATCTCTCATCCATGTCATTTTGCCAAGGAGTACCCGTAGTAGTCTTGTGCCTTAAAATACCAGACATACTATAGTAATTTCCGAAAGCTTCATTGCAGAAGTCAAGGCCATTATCAATTCTCAACATCTTTACCTTCCTGTCAGTCTGACTTTCGACCAGGGTCTTCCAAATTTTGAAATTTTCAAAAATTTCATCCTTAGTCTTCTGGATGAATACCCATAAATTTATGGAATAATCATCAACCATGGATAGAAAATAGTTTTCACTTCAGTGTGAAGAATTCCTTGCAGACCCCCAAAGATCAGCATGAATGTAATAAAGGAATCCACGTGTTTTTTGTTTATCTTTGTTAAACTTCACTATGCATGATTTACCAAACACACAAGGTTCACAGAGTTCAAGCTTTTTGAATTTGTCACCACTTAGATGATTTTGTTTTCCCAGTTCGACAAGACCTCATTCACTAACATGACCCAATCTCATGGGCCACAGTTCCGCCTTCGACATAAGTTTCGTGGAGGCAAAATTTGTTTATCCACTTACAACAATAGCCTCAAGGGTATACAAGCCTTGTTATTTTGCGCCTCTCAAGACTTCTTTCGGTCCCTTCATGACTTTCAGGATACTTTTCTCTCCTATGAAAACACATCCTTTCTTGTCAAATTTACCAAGAGATATCAAATTTCTCTCAGACCAGATACATACCTGACACCAGTCAACAACTTTATTGACTCAGCATGGAGCTTGAATCTCATAGATCTAATACCTACAAATTTGCAAGCTTTATTGTTTCACAACAACATTAATCCACCATCTTGATCACATAATTCCTCAAACACATCTTTGTTTGGAGTCATGTGTCAAGTACACCCTGAATCCATTATCCACTCCTTGCTAGAATCGTTGCTTGA